TAATAATAATAATAATAATTCTTTATTTGCTCAATGTGGTACATGATATAGATGTTACATACAATATTAGATCAGCACATTTACCATTATTGGCATGCAAATTGGTTACATTTGATGTTTACTGTAGATTAAAATAAAATACATGAAGGCTACAATTTTGGTTCATAAACTAAGTACACTTACTGCTCTTATTTATTTCTTTCTTTAAAACTAAAAGATTTACATTTGTTTTTTTCTAAAAATTCGTGGATTGAGTAGTAATTTTCTTTAATTAGCCATTGCTTTAATACATTACAAAATTTCTTATACGGAAGTTCAGTTATAGATTTAGGCAACGTATTATAAATTAGAGGAGCCATATAAACACAATTCCGTCTAAATAACTCCAATCTAGGCGAAGGCACTTGAAGAAGTACGCATGTTGCTTTTCTCTTATTTACATTATCTTTAACTTGAAAAAGCGAAGGATTGGTTCTTATGAATTTAGCAATTTCATAAATATAAATGGACGGGACAGTTAACAGCTTATTAGACTGAAATACAGGCCTACAGGATTCAGACCATTTCAAATTAAATATTGCACGAATGCATTTTTTCTGCGCTATAAACACTCTAGAAATATCCGTAGAATTTCCCCAAACAATTATTCCATAACGAATTATTGAACAAACATACGCATGATAAACAAGAATAGCCGTATACCTTGATGTAACGTCTTTAACCTTTCTTAAAGCAAAGATAAACTTATTAATCTTATTACAAATATTATCTATATGGATTTTCCATGTAAGGTGTTCATCAAGAATAACCCCTAGAAACCTTGCACTGTGAACCTGTTCAATCATTTTACCATCATATGCAATATTTAAATGTATGTGTTTACTTTTCCAAGTTTTAAATTTTAATACATTCGTTTTCGTTACATTTATTCTTAGTTTGTTAATGTCTAACCAATTAGTAATATCTTTAATTGACTCATTTATAATGGTATCATAGTTTTGTGGATTTTTGGTTTCTATGATTACTGTGGTGTCATCCGCAAATAGAACACACTGATGTTTAATTGCTTGTGGTAAATCATTTACATAAATTAAGAATAATAATGGTCCCAAAATACTCCCCTGCGGTACACCGCATCGATTTATGAGTGGTTTAGAATCAAATATTTCTAATGTGTTACTTATCTCATTAAATTTTGTAATTCTGGTTATCTGTTTCCTATTACTTAAATATGATTCGAACCATTTTTGAGCTGAACCTCTGATACCATATCTTTCCATTTTCTCAATCAATATTGGATGATTTACTAGATCAAACGCCTTACTAAGGTCCAGAAGTAGTGCACAAGAAGACGTGTTAGAGTTAATACTATTCATTACTGCTCTTACAAGTGTATATATAGCTAACGTTGTTGATTTATTTTGTTGAAAACCATACTGCTCCTTTGCTAGAATATTAAACTTATTTAAATATTTAAGCACCCTTTTATACATAATTCTCTCGAATACCTTCGACAAGATTAGAGTTAATGCTATAGGTCTATAGTTATTTACATCAGATTTCGAACCTTTTTTGTGTAACGGTTTTATTAACGACATTTTTAACCTATCAGGGAAACATCCTTGTTCAAGAGATAGGTTGATGATATGAGCTAGTGGTGGTGATATATACTGGGATATACATTTGATTAAATCTGTTGAAATACCATCAAACCCGCAGGATTTTGTGTTTTTTAAGTTCCTTATTATCTGACAGACCTCAACATCGTCACTAGGTTCCACAAAAATACTTTTATCATGTGAGGTTACATTGGAAATTTTTATTTTACTATTGTCAATATTATTGGAACCTTCATTATTAGCAACGTCAACGAAAAATGTATTAAACGTATCAGCAATATCTGAGCCAGACGCAATAATAGTGTTTCTATATTTAAGAACATCCAGACTATCTCTACCTTTTATTTTACCCGTGTTGCGCTTTACAACGTTCCATGTAGCTTTTACTTTATTATGAGACTGAGCTATATGTCTTTGATTACATAGTGCTTGAAGATTATACATACACTTTTTTAATATTTTAGAATAGGTCTTAAACCTATTTTTATTTTCGTTATTTTTATTTAGGTAGTAGATAAATCGCAATGACCGCTTATTTTTGCTACTAGTTTTAATTCCTCTTGTTATCCATTTTGGTTTATTAAAATTGTATCTTTTTTTTACTCTTATACTCGGAAAACATAATTTATAAAATAATATCAACAGGTCATGAAACTTTCCAAATGCTACATTTGTATCTGACGTGTCATAAACTTCACCAAAACTTAAGCAACTAATACAATCTATAAACTTATTTACATTTTCCTTACTGAGATCATCCCTAATCACATAATAGTACCCTTTAACATCAATAGTTTGCTCAATAATTGTGACTGTTTGGGCTGTATTATGATCTGATAGATAAAAATTATGAGTTTCGCCAAGACAGTCGTCAATATTACCAATAATATTATCTATACATTTATTATGCCTAGTGGGTTCATTTATGTAATGCTGTACACCATAATTAAGCATCAGATCCTTAAAAGTGGTACTATTTTTATCTGATAATAACAAATCTATATTAAAATCTCCACAGATAATTATATTCTGTTTTTTGTTGTGAAGTCTCGAAAGAGTCTTTTCAAGACTATCAAAAAATATGTTAACATCGGAGTTTGGGGTTCTGTATATACATATTATTATAAGTTTAAGTTTATTTATCATTATACCACACATTTCAAAGTGTTTTTCAGTTGCAAATTCTCTTATAGTATCTAGTCTAGTACTTTCATAATCATTTTTACAAAGAATACAAGTACCTCCGCGACGTTGGTTTTCACGAGAGAAAATATCAGCTAGGTAGAAGCCGTTTATGTTGAGGTACATTTCCTCATGCTTTTTGATGAAATGTTCACTTAAACATACAGCTACAACATTTTTTTTTTGCTCGAGCAGCTCCAGCAGGGCCACGTCCAGGTCCTGCATCTTATTCAGGGCACCCGCAATATTTTGGTGGAATATAGAATACGAAGACTTATTCACGAAAAAAATTATTTACTTTGGGCCGGGTTTTTGTACCAGAAACATTATCTATCGGTTCAACTTGTGACAATTTTTTTATAATGATAGGAAAGTAGTAAGGAATTGTACCTTTTTTTATTTCTACCTTAGACACAGTTTTTTTACCATAAGGATTATTGTTTAATGTTTTCTTAGGGTCAATACAGTTTTGAAGTGTGACATCATTATAAGACAGGAACATTTTATTATATACTCTTACATTGATATGATAAATTATTTGCTGTATAACATTATGTGGTTTTGTCTCTATAAATGTACAGTTTTTATAATTTCGAGTTATTAACTTTAGCTGATCATTTAGTTTACGTTCATTTAGATAATTATTATGGAAAACATTAACTACATACACATTGCAATTATTAAAATAATGTAACGCTATAGACATTTCAGACAAAATTTCAATTGGGTTGGAGTCATTGCTCCCAGTCATTATAACTACGTGGTCTTTTTTTGAAAGTCTGTTACAATAATCATTACAACCTGCCAATACATGTTTCGTTGTGGCGTATGGTTTTGTGATAGACTGTACTTTATAATCATCAGCAAGTAATTTATGCTTGTTTTTTAGTAATGTTTGTACAATACCTTGTCCCTGATTATCTGAGAAGATGAATATTTCACCAGTTTCTTTAGGACATTTTCTACTATCGGGTTGACTAAATACAGACTTAGGGCTAGTATTCTTGCTTGAATCGTGGTTCAGAGAAATCTTCGCGACGTTTTGCATGTCGAGATTAGGTTGACTAATGGTAATTTTCGGATCATCATTACTTCCAGGAAATACTATAGAGGTGTTGTTTCTTGAAGGCTTGGGTGTATGAAAATCTAAGTCAAGATTAAGTTTTCTAGAGGAGATTTTCTGTTTTATAGCCTGACTCCTATTCAGCTTTAATGAGGTTGACGATGATACAGTCTTCTTATGACTAAATGTAGTACACATTTTTCTTAGTTGCTCAGATTTTTTAATTTCATTTTGCAACTGTATTTTCATTTCAGAGTTTTCCAATGTTAGCTGTTCTATCTCAGTGTGAGCACTTACTAATTCTTCTCGCAATTTATATATTGAATTTTGTAATTGCGTTATTTCATCAGACTTGATGTGGGTAGATAAGTCCATCATACTTTTAATGCTCAAATTAGATGATGATGAATCAAGTGATTCAAGAGAGGTATTCGAAAGACATTTTCTAAAGCGTCGGTTCCTCATTGTTATATTATTTAAATCCATTGTTATCAATAAATTTACTTAATAAAAGTTGTAAGTGTTAATGTTGCAAATTCTATTAATTTTTTTACAACGTTCCTGGAACGCTGCCTAAAATGGTATAATTAGTCAAAATTCACACCTGGAACGCTCGTGTTGATTCAGTTGGCAGTACTGGGAACCACAGACTGAACTGGAACGCGCTCAATTTCTACGCGTACGGTGAACGGTTGGTAGTGCCGTTTTTTATTTTAAAATTATGGAGGTAAAACAGTAAAGTTTTCACAAGTTTATTAATATACTTTTACTGAACACTTTCTTCCTTATTAGCACTGCACAATTACTAATCCCGTTTGAAAATGTTATTGTTTAATGTCCAGTTTATACCATGACCACCTAATTAGTCTATTAATTATTTAAGAAACATTAATATCAGCACTGTGCCTCAGAACACTCAAATGTTGTTTTATATTAGTCTAAGTTATTATAGCATCTGCAAACGATATCACTGTATTATTAACTTATTTGGAACGCACTGATACTACTTTTACAGTATTTACACACTTAATTTTGAAAAAATTATAAGTTTAATTACGGAACCTGTGTTTACATTTGCTGGGGTTGCCAGTCTTTTTTCTTATATTATATATTTACATATTATATTTATGTTTCATATTAGTATGTAGTATTGGTATGTAGTTTATGTACTAGGATACCTTTATACATATGTACGTACATTTATCACCCTCGTTTTTATTTTTTTTCGATAGATGCAAACTTATTTTAAAGCCTACTGTAACACTTCTCTGCATCACCTTATGGTTGGCTGGTAGAGAATGCCATTCGGCATTAAGTCCGCCATTGTATACAGTTGTACATAAAGTGTTAAATAATAATAATAATAATAAAGCTAAAGAGTTTGTTTTTTTTGTTGGTTTTTTTTTAATGCGCTAATCTCCATAACTAAAAGTCCGATTTGAATCATTCTTTTTGTGTTGGATAGCTCATTTCTCGAGGATAGCTATAGGCTAATACATAAAACATCACAGTACGACCAATAGGAGCTGACCAGAGCGTGTGAAACTGCGCGGAAGTAGCTAGTTAAACATAAAAAAAGAAATTCTGCACTTATGACCTATGATAATGTTAATCAACCAATAAGATATGTAAATGTTTCTTTTAGTTAGCTACAATGAAGAGCTATCAGGTCTTTATGGTGGAGTGCTAGAGAGCCAAACCCAGTTTGCAGCAGCTTGCATTACTCAGATATTGAGCTTGTACAAAAGTAATCGTTTTACTAAAGCTGTACCAACATCAGTTATACTTATTGGACATTCTATGGTAAGTAATTTTTTATATCCTAATCTCACCAACATTTAATATCAATTCTGTACTAACAAACAATATCAGAACATGATAAAAGAAACAAAATAAAAGAAATATTGTTGTATTACAAAAGTTAAGTGGACTAAATCCACTCCACTAACTAAAAGAAACTGTGTTAATGAGATTAAAAAAATATTTTATTCAATAGCGGCCACTCTAAGAGCCTTATCATCCATATCATCAATCCACTAGGGATTGCAAACGTCTTCAAAGCGAAGAGTGCGCGCAACGAATTCTTTACGCGCATTCATTGCGCGTCTCCTCCGCCCGCTGCCGCTTCCAAACAGCTAGTATGATAAGGCCCTAAAAGTCATTGTAATTATACAGGGTGGAATTATAGCCAAACGATTATTGGCCTATCCAAGCACATTCAACGCGACGTCACTAGCCATAACATTGGCAGCCCCATTGGAAGCTCCTGTAGTCAATGTGGACTCCGCCATAGATAATTATTACATGTTAATGGACCTAGAGTGGAAATACAACATTAATGAACAAATAGAAGCGAAGGAACAGAAGATGTTGCTCAGTTTTGGAAATGGCCCTCGCGATGTTTTGATGCCATCTGGCTTAACTCAGTCAAATGATAGTTATATCAATGCTTTGGTAAGTAAATATTGTGCTATATTTCCGTCGTTTAAAGAGGTTGACAGAGTCAATATTTATTAGATGTATTGTTGCACACAAGAAAATGTGACAAATACTATGAATGTGTATCACTTACTTGTAGCTACTAGCTAGCTACATTGATCAAGGGATAAACATATCCATTGAAACAAGGGATACATGTTTTACATGCAAAACTAAGCTAAATAAGCTTCAACAGATTTCAATTACAATTAGCGCAATGGAAGCATATCAAATCCTTTAATATTGGTGGGAAAATTAATAGAATAGAACAATTATTAAAAGCTTTGTTTTTAATTGTCCTGCTCTTATACCCTTTTATAGACTACAGCAATCCCAGGTGTATGGACTTCACCAGACCATGTGTGCATAGTTTGGTGCAAACAACTTGTGATGGTAATAAACAGATACTTATTCTCTATTGTGGACCCTCACACGGAACAACTGAATGAAGATCATCAAGTATTGAAGTTACAAGCTCGTCGATATTTCCAGGTACGTAAAGTTCTATCTTAAATGAGGTAGAGACGGCTTATACAGAATTTTCGATTTTGTTACCAAATGATGAATTTAAAAATTGTAAAAGTTAGAAATGTTTTAATAGTTAGGGTTTAATTAATGTAAACTAATAAAGTGCTTGCGCAAAACTGCGCAAACGTTTTTTTTGCATTTGAACTTTATAATGATTAGCGCATGTTTTCAGGCTAATCGCTCAATGATTTTGAGCCCAGATATTCCTCGCGCAAATATGACCATGGTTGCTGATGCTTTCTGGTATGAGGACAATAGAAGGATCTATCAAATAGCGAGACCGCAGATAGAGAAGTAAGTATTATCATATAAATAAAGTGTATCATCTAGTACGATCCTTACATACCTACTTCTTCATATGATTAAGAGAACTCCACGAATTTTAAGCAACCTCAAAAGGAATATAATAACTCTTCAATGAGGTCGGCATTAATATATGTTTTTCTAAATAAATATTTAGACAGGGAAATACGTATACTGTGACTAATTTTATACAAAAACAGCAAGTATTATTTTTATCTCTTTGTAACCTTGACCTGAGTTTGTCATTTTGGAATGGTAGTCTAGTCAAGCTAGGTAAATAAAGATAATATTTACAACTGCCAACGACCTAGATGTTTTACTAACGAAATATTCATAATTGTAAAAAAAATCGATTCACGGCGGATATTAATAAGAGATCTCAATTCAAAATCAATTGAATTCAATATTTTTCGAAAATTGAGATTGATTTTGGACATAGCTGTATGCACTTTCAGTTAAAAGTTAGATCGAATCTCAGTCAGTCAGTCAATCGTCATTATCAGTTATTATAATCTGTTTTAGGTAATTATTCGATAACCATAAATTAGCCACGTTTGTACAGAATATACATTATTTACTAATCTTTTTTTTTTTTTTTCTTTAATTTCTTTATTTTGTTGGCTTTACGCCTGAACAAATTGGTCCTTCGAGCTTCTAGACTGCGCTCTAAAATAAAAAAATCATAAAAACAAAAATATCTTTGTTAAACCCGAGACATATTCAAACAAAATTTCCTTTTTTTAATATTTACCTTATGCCAGCTACTGTAAGTTTAATTTTAAACAAACAAAAGTTACCGATGTGATTTTGTTAAATTGTAATGTCCATACATATCTCTTGCATATCAATGCATGATGACATCAGCTGCTACTCTTAGAAATTAGGAATATAATTAGCAATGATCTCTTGTGTTCTGATAACGATGCGTTAAGTTAGTCACGTATGTTATGCAAGTTGTAGAAATGTTATACAACTCTAGATTTTATCGTTATGTAGTAAAGTATATCGGAATTGTTATCTCATTTATTATTATGTTCATACGATGATTTGTAGGTACTTTATTTTGGACGTATTTTATTTACCTTGTTCGTTGTCGTCGTCGTCGTTCGCTGCAATTCCAAGGTAAATTATCTAGCTTGGGATTTCCAAAGTTCTTAATGTTATATATTCTATATTCAAAATTATCTAGGTATTTTTTTACCATATTACTCACGTAACTGTTTGTCGAGGAACTCGACAACAACACGTTACGGACTAATATTCATGAGCAGTATTCAGAACTCCAATTGTGGTATGTGCAATGTGCCCGGTTTATGGCAAAGTTCATTCCATAGTACTTAGGGTTTTTTTTCTTTATTTTGTTAAGAGACTTTTATACAAATTTACATGTCTGGTCGCATCGAACCTTATATGCTTATAATTCTAATAAATTATAATAACTACAATTAATAAATTGTACAGTGTACACTAAAACGCAATAACACAAACTTAATCAAATTATACGCGTCTTTGGAGTTAGGCATTGACAAAATATGATGGAACATTGTACTTATTTCTCTCGAGTTCTGTAAACAAGACTTCCTCTGCAGATTGAAATCTGACACATTCCATCAATAGATGCATAATATCTTCTGTAGACAATCTAGTTTCCTTATGGCATGGAGCATTTCTTTCTTTATTGAAACAAAGAGTTTTCTTTTTCTTGTATAGAAGCACTATTTTTATGGACTGTCAGTATGCGTATGTGAGCCTCATGTCCATAAGATTTGTCCATTAGATTGTTTTTGTCTTGTTTTATTTTTATTTTCTTAAGTTTTGTAATTTGTTAAATCCGTCAAGCGTGTCTTTTCATTGTTCCCACATATACGTACGATATTGCGATATGTATCAGAGACATTATAGAACATATTAAAAAAAAAGTGTAACGAATGTAATTTCTTGCTCGTTCTTCTCGAATCATTCGAATCTACATTTTGGAATGAGCTAGCTTCATTTTTTTATTAAAAATCCAAAATTATTGAGTGGCATGTGTCCAGATGTCAATCTGTGAGTTTCTGTTTTCTGCTAAACCTAGTGTTAGTACTTAGGACGTTTAACATATATAACTGACTATATACACATCGGCATAAAGAGCGATTGCTCTGATTAAAAAGTGATGTTACGTGATTCATAAGAGCGGGAGAAAAACGATTTTAAACTGTGTACTTACACGTCATAAAGGTCAATTTCAATTAACCTTGTCTATCGGTCTAATTAATTCCTACTTACGTAGGCGCCTTTTGTAAGTGGGTAAGACCGAAACATTAATCAACCGACTTCAAAAAAAGGAGGTTGACTGTTTGGCCTGTATGTAGGTATGTTTGTGTGCGAGTATCTCACGATTGGCTGAACCAATTTAAAGGCGGTTTCAGAAAAGTGTTTGATACACTAACGAGAAAGTTCTTGACTGCACGGTTGGCGTGGTGGCTGGCTGGGCAACTGGCTACCGCACAACGTGTCGCGGGTTCGATTCCCGCACGGAACAACTCTTTGTATGATCCACAGATTGTTGTTCCGGGTCTGGGTGTCATGTGTATGTGATATTTTGTGTTTGTAAACGCAACTACGCAACAGGAGAAAATCCTACTGTGGGGCAAAGTTTCTTCAAAAGGAGACAACGAAAATAAGTATATTGATTGATTAAAATTG